CAATAGTTTTTCGTAATGCCACAGTCACACCTGATTGTTGTAGAAATTTAGTTGTAGATGTAGGAAAGAAATGCTACGACTATTTGATCATTCCTATAATTGAATCATATGCTTTTAGGAAAAATGCTTCTGAGATTGCCAAAAGCAATGAGGAAGTTTGGGAGTCATGTACTTCAGATATAAGTTAAATCATACTATCATGGGTTCTTTCTTGTATGAGTAAAATTTACGGCCTTCAAATTATAGAATAAAAATATATCATGTTTCGATATTTGTCATTCCATGGATTTGTTTGAATTTTCATGAATGTGTGTAAGTTTATGTACCACACATTTGTAATTTGCAAGGAAAATTGGTTAAAAGGACTAAATAACAAACATATTTGGTAAGAACGACTAAAAATAAGTCTTTTAAATAAATTACTCTCTTCAAATCTTAATATAAGTTATAATTAACTAATTTACTTTTTACGAATGATATTAGTTGAAACATTAAATTTTTTAAAATGTTCACATCTTTTTATTCATACTCTTATTAAATACCCTATGTAAAAGCCTTGATAATAACAATTAAAATTTTAATACATAGTTTTTTTTAAAAAATAATAAATTAAGTAAGGGTATAGTTAAAAAAACAAATATATGCTTTATATTTTGGATTAAACAAGATTTTTAAAAGATATCTTATAATATAATATGAAGGGAGTAAGTTGCAATTGAGCCTTAATGGCATCTCACACTCTCATTTAATTGGAGAGGTTGTGAGATCAAACCTCTAAGTAGTGTAAAAAAAAAAAAAAAATTGTATATATGATGTATGTGTGTTGTAGGTGAGTTACTCTTCACAATGAGATCAAAATGTTCTGATGTTTAACAGTGAACCAACTCAAAAAATTATAGTGGATTTTTAAACTAACGGATCAATCACATTATAACATATCATTCTTTTTTTTTTTTTATATTCAGATGGTCTTGAATGTTTCTTCAATAATTTGCAATACCTTCAACATTTTTAAATATTCAGAAACTTCTAGTTTTATTTAAGAATTTTCAAGAGCCTTCAGTAAGAAAGGAAGAAAAATTTCTACTAACAATTTCAATGACCTTTCACTTTTTTTCAGGCATCTTTAATAACCTTCAAGAATTGTTAAGGATCTCTTTGGTAACCTATTTTGAAAATAGTTTTTTGTTCTTCAAAATAAAAGAATAAAAAAAATTTGTTTGGTAATGTGTTTGTAAAAACTGTTTTAGAGAACAAAAAAAAATTATTCTAGATAACAGAAAAATAGAAACTTCGTTTAAATGTTTTGAGATTATTATTCTGAAAATTAAAGGAGAATAAAAAAATATCTATTATTTTTTTTCTCTCAAAATATATTTTACAAAACATCAATTCTCAAAATAAGAAAATAAAAACAATTTTAAATAGCCCTTAATTTTCTTTGAGAATCTTTAAGTTCTTCAAGTTTTAGCAAAATAAAACTCTTAAAATTAGTAGGGGCAAAATGTCAATATTTACCATATATAAACTAATTTATTATAAGCTTTTTTAAAATAATAATTTATTATAAGTGAGAGAGGGCATTTGCCTAATGATAATTTTTTCTATTCACAACATTTAATTTCAAAATCTGGCTGCGCAGAAAAGCCTTCTGATCCAATAATTGGATTAATATTAATTGATTCTGGGACTTGGGCTATCGTAATTTCTTTGTTATCGGTCTCCTTCTCTTCTTGACATTCCTATATTCTATTTGGGCCTAAATCAACCATTGGTATTTGGGTCCAAATCAAAATTTTGGAAGCAAATGAGTTTGAGTTGACTCTAATTGTTTACACAAAAAAAAAAGAAAATTGGCTATCCAATCGCAATTTTTCCAAAAGTGGACTAAATCCAATATGGACTTGGGCTTTTAATTGTTATTCAAGCTTTAAAAAAGGATAATTTAACCTGTCCAAGTTGGGTCCTAACTTCTAAAATTTGAAAATTTTCAAACTTAATCATTTTTTAGGAAAAAAAATTAGGCATTTTTATTCAAGCTAAACTTAGAAAAAATAATTTTTATTAAATTAGAGAATTTTAGCTGTTTCATTTTTTTTATTTTTTGTTTTTGTTTTATTCTATGTGGTATCAAAAAAAAAATAGAGCATAAATTCACTCAAATAAAAGAATTAGTCCAACATGCGTTAATTCATCATTTAAGACTTATTTAATGCATAAGCAAGCATGTCTGTTAAAAAAACTCAAACAAAAAAACATGAACCATGTCAAATCCAAATCAACTGGAAAATTAACATTCAGGATTGCCGAGAAAAGAGGGCTATATAGCCACTAGGTATGGTGGTTAATGCAAATTCTTCGTAGGATGTCTCCTATGTGATTTTTTTAATAATAATGAAATTATGTATTTAGAGAAGGATTCATATCTTTCAAAATGTCTTATTGAAAAGAGAAATAGAATTTACAATATATTTATAAGAAAAAAACATAATTATTAACCCATATATTTTTATCAAATTTTGCTTTTAATTCTTGTAATTTATTTTCAATGTTTTTCATCCTTATAACTTATAATTTAACATTCTTAGAAATTTGAGAAACAAACATCACACAATTTTGCTAAACCTATAGGGATTAAAAAACATTAAAGAAAATTAAAAGAATTAAAAGCAAAATATGATGAAACTATAGGTACCAATAATTTTATTTTCTCTATTTACACATTATAATTAATCTAAATTGAATTTTTTGTTTAATCAGGTGAAGAAAAGAGAGAGATGTACATCCTAAAGAATAATTTACAATTTATAGAGTCATGAATCATGTCACTTTCAATTTGTAACACAATCAAGGTATAACTGATATTGTAAAAGGTTTCGTACATAAAAAGGATTGGTGAGCAACAAACATTGATCCTAATAAAAAGGTTAGGACATTTTAATTACGGGATTTCGAATCTTTATCAATGCAAAAAACCTGTCTGAAAGAACTATTTTTAATTGGACCAGATAATACTCTAACATAATCCATTCATACCAAAACAAAAGAAGAAGAAAGGTAGGAAAAGAAAGTGTATGGGTGAAGAATGTACAAATATCAAAATGGAACGAGAGAGAAACAGCCAAACAAATGAATAAGATCACCTAACCCATTCCTGGACCTCAAGTAGCAAGGTGATGATGACAATGACCATTAACCTGCCTTTTTGGTAGCATGATGCTCATGAAATTTTAAAATGACTTCATGATCACTCAAATCTACACCACACAACTGATATGTCACTTATCCTCTCAGTGCCACCTCATACTCTTAACTCCATATCTCATTACTTTTCAAAAGAAAATGAACAATTAGAAAGAATATTTATATAATTTTAATACAACTTAAGTTTTTTTTAAAAAAATGAAATAAGTTTTGTGTAATTTAAGTAACATTTTGGGTAGTCTGTATAATTTATTTTTTGTTTTTAAAGGAAGTTTTTATAGAATTTAGAAATAGAAAGAACATGTATATAATTTTAATACAACTTAGGAGAAATCTGTGTGAATTATATTTTATTTTTAAAAAGCTTCTATATAAATTAGGAAAATAATAAAAAAGAAATTGTTTGATTTCAAAGCAATTTTGAAAATTCATATAATTTACTCTATAATTATAGCCTGAAAACTTTGAAAGGACGGAACACTGATATAAACGCTACAATATCACAAAATTTGAACAGTCTACATATATATTCAAAGTGTACCTGACTGACATGAAAGATATATTTTTATTTCAAAAGTTTTTGCAATCTATACATGATAATTCTTAAAATAAATAATTTTAGAACAAAATTGAAGAAAATAGTCTCATATCAGAGAAAAGTTGTAAATAACACGAGTGTTTCTTTTGAAGCTTTTCTTGAATCAGACTCCTTTTTTCTCTTTCAAGTTGCAAAATGCACTCGGGGGGTATTTGGTGAAGGAAGAGAAGCTTCTTATCTGTTTCTTTATCCTATTACAGCCTTGTCCACAAATGTATCTTTCAAAAGTGTCAAATTATAAGCCTTGATGAAAAATCAAAGGCACTGAAATTAAATGCACTGTTGGTTTGGCTTGTAGCTTTACTTTTCATAGAAATATTGTCCATTTACAATAAGACACATCCATTATCAGCAATCAGCATCATTAAGGATTCATCAACCAGTAATCTGAGACTACCAATTAGAAACATGTTCAGAAAAGAGAGGATAGAACTCTGATCAATAATGGGTGATTCTGATAATTTCATGACAGATTATACTACATTCAACTGTGTCTGGTCTTGAGTGTGCCTTTTTTGAGAAGAATAATCATGTTGCTCATGATTTTATGAGCCATTCTAATGACAGAAGAAAGCATGAAGACATGACACAGGATTCAAAAAAGGACTCTGTTTAGATACTTTGACTGATTTTGTGATCTTTCTGCAACAGGATCTAGATCCTATCAGATAGTGTCAGTTTCTAACTGTCCGATATTCTTTCAAAAGGCATGATTCTATAACATAATGATGCTCAATTGTGATACTACCTGGAATCCAATTCTTGCATATTGAACATTCAAAAGCACACTGAACAAGTAAAGAAAAGCTCTACAGGTATACCAGATTGTTCAGAATTCAGATTTTTTCTGGCTAGAGACTAGAAAGTTAAGCTCAACGCATTCATATTCTCAAGCATTTTGCCTCTGATTTTCTTCATAGAACTAGCACTTACATTTCTTGGAAGACCAAGACAAGAATTAGTTTGTCTTTTGGGCTTCACAAGTTTTAATTAACAAACATTCTCTGAAGTTTTGTTTTGTTTTGTTTTTTTTGGTATAAAACTACTTTTTTCGTCTTCGTGAAGTTGAACAGAGAAAGACTTTCAAACTTGTGACGTTGATGATAGTTCCACATCTTATACCAAGAAGAACTTCATAGAATTTTATGAATCCATGAACAATGTGGATTCTCAAACAAAACTGGAAGAGAGAAGATACTTATTCATAAGGTCTCGTACCTTAATTTCAAATGGAAATCCGAAATACATGACACCAAGACAGAGGACGACATGATAATACAACGGAAAAACACAAAACATTAACGGTAAGGTAAGACGTTCTTACAATAATGAGTACAATTCAAATACACTGAACCCAACAAAAGTGGAAGGAGGATACAAACGGTATCAGAACCAGGTTAGGCAATTCAAGGGCGGGGTGGGGGTGGGGGTGGAGGCCTGTAGGCGATGAAGCTGATGCACTGCACTTGACGAACGTTGTCGAATCCGATGATTCTGACGTGAGAAGTAGGGTTGGTCTTTACAGCCTCGTCAAGCTCCTTCACCACCTGAATAGCGTCTGTGCATCCAAACATGGGCAGCTTCCACATTGTCCAGTATCTTCCGTCGTAGTACCCCGGTGACTTGTGGTTCTCACGGTACACAAATGCGTTCTGCCATCAATCCAAACAACTCATGTTATTCATCTTTGCCACTTATATACCTCTTCTCCAACTCAATTCTATTCCCATACTAACTAATTAAAAGAAGAGAAATGTAAAGAGTGTTCCCAAATCATGTTATGTTTTCCATTTACATACCTCTTCTTCATCCCAACTCTATTCTCATAACATACATAACTTAATTGAAAGAGGAGAAATGTAAAAGATTGTTCCCATAGACTTACACCAAGTGTGAATTCCAAGCAAGGAACCCATCCCATTCTGAGAAGGTATTCAACTTCCTTGAGCAGAGATTCTTTGGAGAGAGGTGGGAGGTAGGAGAGAGTCTCAAACTTCTTTTTGCCCACTGTGGGCCACACCTGGTTTTCACGGGCACTTGTGTGAGTTTTCTTTTCATTATAATGACAAGTGAAAAATCAATTTTTCTTCTGTGTATGTTCTTACCAGCATGCAGCTTACTCTGCCACCATTGCTAGCAATGGAGGTGATGTCGGTGTTGGTCTTCTTGCTGACGGGTAAGCCGGCGCCGGATTTGAGACCGGTGAAGGCGGCCACCCTGTTGGTCTGTGCCGGAGTGGCGGCGACGGCCGCGGAAGAGAGCATGGAGGAAGCCATTTCCTTCTCCTTCCTTTGCTACTAGTTACTATACTAGTACTCTATTACACAGAGTGAGAGATGGAAAAGCTTCAGCTTGAGCTTGTTATATAATGGCTTAATTTCTGTGTTTCCAATCCAATGGCTTGAAAACGAGAGGCTCTTGATTTGCAAAAAATAAACGGTTGGATAGTGTTGGTGATGACAGTGCTCACATTATGACCACACGAGACTGGAAGTTTTTGAATGTTAGCCTTATCGTCAGGCACCACTATGGCATGCCACGTGGAGGAAGCTCCTTAATCTTATCTTTTTCCCAGGGACAGTGTAAACGTGTGATGGTCGTGAAGTTTGATACCTTTTAGTTTTCTCAGCCAATTTGCGACCGTCCCATCTTGAGAAACATGGTAAGGTTTCAGTGAAGTTAAATCCCTCTGTCATTTTTATTTACTGTTGTAAGCTTTCACAGTAAAAATGATGATTAACTAGGCCCTGGCTTTTTCAGTTTTTCCGCAGTTGAGACTTGAGGTTGAGGGGTAGATTGCAGAGCCATTTTATCTGACAGTCTCTTATCTCTTTCATTGGGTAGTTAAAGACTCCTTCCACTCTTATTTACGAATCAATTCCAACATATTTTATTAAAATTAAGAAAAACTTTAAATTTATTACTTTTATTTAAAAATTCAATAAATTTTTAATTTTACTCGTATTAAATATATATATTTTAAAAATAAAATACTCTAACATTTTATAATTTTTGTGATATTTAATAAAGGCAAAAAAGTAAAAATGGAAAAATTATAAAGATGCCCTATATTGTCCTTGGAGGAGTGTCTTTCATTATTCAATTCCAATGCATATTAACTAAATTTTGTTTCAATTGATGTCACTGTAGTAACCATCCCTTTCACTGACATTTTCTTAGAGCAGTAACCAGTTCTTCTTAACTAACAGTAAAGTAGGCGTCAAAGTGCTGTGGCTCTAACAGAATGAGTTAACAGAGAAATCTTAGTAATCTGCAATGAAGGAATCAAAATGTGAGCATGGAAAAGAAAAGAACCTTGCAGTACCTGGATGTTCACAAAATGAGAAGCTGTTTTCTTCAAGAGAGAATGTTTTCTTCATTTTGTTTCTGCTGAGCTGTAGCTCTTTGTCTTGTTGTAATGATTTTTTTTCCCTCTCATTTTTCTTGACACAGAATTTGAAGTCACTGAATGAACCCATGCTTTTCTTGAAAATGTTAAAATAAGATTTGAGTGATCTTCAGGTAATGGAAGGTACTGAAAGTTCAAAATCTGTCCTATAAGAAAATAAGCCAAGATAGCACCCATGTGAAATAGAAAATCTCACAACAAGCCATTCATGCTTTCTTTTACTGGACGCAGTGAACTCATCATTCAACCAAAACCCCACTCAAGCTTGTCAATACCTTAGCTTCTGACTATAAATTCTTTGATTATCCAGCTTTGTTAATGCAAAAAAAAAAAAAAGAAAGAAAAAAAAAAACTCTCCTAATTACCAAAAATCATGCATCATATCCCCTTTTAGCTAGTTCGGTCTTTCCTGTAAAATGTTCTCTTTGAACAGGAAGATTATGTTCATTTCGAACAAATTTTGACCATTCAGTTGATTTGATGATCCAAATCCATTAAAGACAATAAAGAGTTATTTAAAATAAGTCCTTTTACATGTTCAATGCTTATTCTTACTGAATGGACAAATATAACACAAGAAATAGAAAAAAGAAGGTGTTAAGGGAAAAAAACCAGACCTTGTGTTGAAATGTGAGTACTTCAGCTTCTGTGTTCTCACAAAAATGAATTTGAGCTGTTGCTAACATTCCTCACTAAACTCCTTAAACAAGGTTTCCCCTCACTGTGGACAACTTAGTCAGAACAAAACATAAGTATAGATAAGGTTATGACAGAAACCATACTTCAATCAACATCTTCATCCATTGTTGAAAACTTTGTGGATTTTCTCTTAGCTGTTAAATCTGATAATAGGTATGGCCTTCTGTAAGAACATCAGTTTGGTCTTCAATGCTGCAATAGGACAATGCTACATCCTTTTCCTTCTGATATTCTCTTATGAATTGGCATTTTAAAGTAAAAAAGGACCATTAAGGGAAAGCTTTGTATTTTAATTCATAAACCCAATACATCCTTTTTAAATCATCAATGAAGAGTACAAATTACTAGCACCTTCCCAGTGGCAAGGCTGCTGTAGGATCACTTAGGTCGCTGTGATTAAGTGGCAAGGCTTCTGGTTACTTTGTGTTTGACCATTTAGAAATTCATCCTTCTACTGATAGGCATGTAAGCTAAGCTTTTCACAAACAATATTCTGAAGGGACCAAACATTAATGAAATATATAAATTTATCTACTTCCTCAATCCCAATTTATAAGACATTTTTAGACAAAATCACACATACCAATAAAATTCATTAAAGACACATTGCAATCTTATTTTTTCAAAACAAAAATGTAAGCTTCAAAAATGCTCTTATTTTTGTGAAAGAATATCATGGGAAAGAATATTAGAGAGAGAGAGAGAGTATAATGAGAAGAGTAATATTAAGAAAATATTATTAATGAAACCTCATTTTTGTCCAAGTGTTTAATATTTTGGGGCGTTGAATCTCCTTCAAAAATGTCTTATAAATTAAGACAGAAAGAGTATTAACCTAGAGATTATGCATTGATGAGCGTCAAAAGCTTAAGACCACTATAATTTAAAAACAATGAAAATTTATTCAATGACAATAGTGTATAGTGCCTTTTTAGGTGAATTTCTGGCATAAATAGAAGTAAAACAAGACTAAGTTGTGCAGCTGCTTGTGTTAATAACGATGATCCTTTTGCCTTTTCTATCAAATGGTTTCCATTTCCTTGTGTAACTCTTGAGATGTTTGAATTTTCTCTCTGCTTGAATTGGCTTAAGCTAAATGTCACATGAACTGTATAACGGCTGTCTATCAACCAAGCTTTTGAATTTTTTTCAGTTGGATAAAAAGTTCTATGAACAGTTATTTTTATCTTGATGAGTCTTCCCACCAGAAATATTTTGAACTTCCCTATGATGCTGGCTATAAAAGGCATTTCTATGTATTTGTTTTTCTGAGTTGTCTTCCAATTATGTATTTCAACACTCATTAACAAGCTTTGATTAAGTTATTCGTGGCAGATTTTTGAAGCTTTAAAAGTTCCTGGAAGACTAACCATTATCATCACTCACCTGTGTTCTGATACTGTCATCCTCATTCATCTTCAAAACCTCAAATTTCCACCTCAAATTGAGAATTTACATCTGTCTTGTTTTCAAACTGTTAGATTATTAAGTGTGAATGGGCTTGATATCTGGTAAAGTTGGGCTGAAAGTAAAAAGTCTTAAGGGTTTGGATTAAAATGTGATGTTAATTATACTTATATAAATCTTATCATTGCTCCAAGCCTAGTTTGGATTCTCCCCCTTTTCAGGATCATTCAATTTGGACTCTTCCCCAGCATGAATGCTTTTTGCCTGTAGCCTTGTAACTTAGTGGCATGCCAGCTCTCTTATAAGTAAAAGGTCGCGGATTCAGTCCTGCTTGTGAAAAAAACTGAGCTTCCCATATTTACCCAAGGGAATTTTCTCATTTCTATTATTATAACCAGGTACCAGCTAGCCAATTTTGATGGGAAACCAATGTGAATTGGTCATAGTTCTATTAGTCAACCGGTTTGTGTTACTCTGTTACTTCCTCTCTACATCATTAGCCTTGAACCAAGGGAATTATCCCTTTTTAATTTCAAATTTGAAGGTTTTTTTTCTTTTCCAGCAGAGAAAATGGAAGGAGTTTTTCACTTGAGGAGACATATTTCATTTAGGAAAAACTGCAAAATTGAATTGCACACAACATGGAACTCGGCGAACCTTCTGTTTTGATGATTCTGAGACAGAACATACAACAGATCAGTACTGCTTTTCTGTGGAATATTCGGACTGCTGGATAAGATTTCATAAACATGTTCACATTTTCAAGCCAACTGATTCTGATTTACTTCTCCTAAATTCCTTCATTTCTTTAAAAAATGAGAAAATGATTACTGTCATATAAAGCTTTAAGCTTTCTGTTGATCATGAGAAAGTGTTGCTTGTCATAATCTTAACTCAAAACTTTAAAACTCGAATTTATGTGCCTTTCTATCTACCCTATTACATACACAAACGCACTAACATATACATTTGAATACGACATTGTGTCATTAGATTTTTGAGCTCATTTTAAGTTAATCAATGACAATCTAAACTCCGGAAATGTCAGCCCAGAAAAGGAAAATCAACATATAATGGGATCTGATTAACCAAGCAAATAGTTATTCATATATAAAAGATCTCATCCAGTATTCGTTTCCACTGGAAATCCGGTAAACAGAAACCAAAAGCACAGGATGATTTATATAGCTCCATACAAAAACAAATGGGAATGCAAAAGCCAGGAAAAAAGCAACACGATCAAGTTGGCATCAGAACCAAGTCAGGGAATTCAGGGGCGGGGTGGGGGTGGTGGTGGTGGAGGCCTGTAGGCGATGAAGCTGATGCACTGCACTTGACGAACGTTGTCGAATCCGATGATTCTGACGTGAGAAGTAGGGTTGGTCTTTACGGCCTCGTCAAGCTCCTTCACCACCTGAATAGCGTCTGTGCATCCAAACATGGGCAGCTTCCACATTGTCCAGTATCTTCCGTCGTAGTACCCCGGTGACTTGTGGTTCTCACGGTACACGAATGCGTTCTGCCATCAACCCAAACAACTCGTGTTATCAATCTTTTCCATTTATATACCTCTTCTCCAACCCAACTCTATTTCCATGCTCACTCTCTTTCCATAATCTAAATTAAAAGATGAGAAGTGTAAAGAGTGTTCCCAAATCATGTTATCTTTTCTACTCATATACTTCTTCCTCAACCCACCTCTATTCTCATGCTAACTAATTAAAACAAGAGAAATGTAAAGAGTGTTCCCAAATCATGTCATCTTTTTTAACGTATGCATCTTCTCCAACTCAACTCTATTCCCATGCTAACTAATTAAAACGAGAGAAATATAAAGAGTGTTCCCAAATCATGTTATCTTTTCTACCTATATACCTTTTCTCCATCCCAACTCTATTCTCATAACATAAATAACTTAATTAATGGAGAAGAGATGTAAAAGAGTGTTCCCATAAACTTACACCAAGTGTGAATTCCAAGCAAGGAACCCATCCCATTCTGAGAAGGTATTCAACTTCCTTGAGCAGAGATTCTTTGGAGAGAGGTGGGAGGTAGGATAGAGTCTCAAACTTCTTTTTGCCCACTGTGGGCCACACCTGGTTTTCACGGGCACTTGTGTGAGTTTTCTTTTCATTATAATGACAAGTGAAAAATCAATTTTTCTTCTGTGTTTGTTCTTACCAGCATGCAGCTTACTCTGCCACCATTGCCAGCAATGGAGGTGATGTCGGTGTTGGTCTTCTTGCTGACGGGTAAGCCGGCGCCGGATTTGAGACCGGTGAAGGCGGCCACCTTGTTGGTCTGGGCCGGAGTGGCGGCGACGGCCGCGGAAGAGAGCATGGAGGAAGCCATTTCCTTCTCTTTCTTTCCTTTGCTACTAGTTACTGTACTGATACTTCAGTACTGAGATGCAAAAGCTTGAGCTTGAACAATCTATTTATATTGCTTGACTCTGGATATTTCCAATCCAATGGCTTGAAAGTGAAGGGCTCTGAATCTGCAAAAACTTGACCGTTGGATAACGAAGGTGATGACATTGCTCCTCCATGGCCACACGAGAATGAGAGTTTGTGAAGAGCAGCCTTATCGTGATGGACCAGTATGGGGGTGCCACGTGGAAGAAAGGTCCATAATCTTATCTTTTTGATATGGAAGAAAATGAAAATGTGTGATGCTGCGAAGTCGATATTTTTTCTTGGTTTAGCAGAGTTTAGTGTATATTGGCCTCTCACGGAATTTGTGACCGTGCCTTCTTCTCATGTGCCATTCATTGCTCTAGTTAATACCTCTTGTCATTGTTAGGACTAATGGTTGTCTTGGATTTTGCTCTTTGGAGAGAAGGCTAAGATGAGGGTCACAATATTTAAGTTAATAAAAATTACATTTTAGTTTATGCTAATTAATTTGGCTCAATTGCCAAATTAATATTATAAATTAAAAGTATAGAAGACGTATTTTTGAAATTTTAGTTGAACTTGTTAATTAATATTTCTAATTTAAATCCTTATTATCTTCAAAGTTTGTGTGTTCTCCTCATATTCTAAGTTAAATAGGGATCTGGATTTGGTAAGTGTTCCAAATCTTCCCACTTAATGAGTGTTTATTGTCAATTCAATCAAACAACAATTACATCTAAGTACAATATAGAAAACACTAAATTACAATTTCACCTTTTGCCTTGCCTTGTACTTCAATTCAATGGTTCATTTATTTGTAAGGAAATGGTTGAAATGCATTTTCATAAAATTATCTTTTAACTCATTGTTTCATTAAATATAAATTTTCAACTGTCGATTTTCATTGTGAATACTTACTGAGTGAAAGGAATTGAAACACTCGTAAAATCTAAATCTGGTAAAGTAGTCCTTCGTGCTTAGGTGCATATACAAAGTGAAACGGATCGACACCAAAAGAACTCAAAAAGAAGCTTGTATCCATAATTTATATTGGACTTCGATTTAATATCTTAATTTTAATTTAAAAAAGTTGGAAGAGTGTCCTGTGACAGTCAAAAATTAAATATTATATTTCAGTAATTAGTAAAATCTAAAAAGGGAAACAAAAAGGAGCACACAAATACGTACATCAATTAATGAATGTGCATAAATGGAAATGTAGTTTTCATCTGACAGTCTCTTATCTCTTTTGTTGGCTTGTTGAGCATACCCATGTGTCTGCCTTCCTTATCATTTCACACTGTAAAATCATCCGTCTATCAGATATAGCAGAATGAAAAAGAAAAAGAATTGTATAAATATAAATCTTACTGGTATATGAAAATGAAAGATGGTTAAACACAATTCTATTAGGAGAATATTGATGATTCCAAGAAAATATCTCTAAAGCCAATTTCTCAATCCTATCTCCTCCTCATTCATCCATAACCACTAAAAGATATTTTAAATATCTCACTGATCAAATGTGTTCATTTGAGCTTACTGATGAGATATTTTACTTACATGTATATATCTTACTGACGTGCTCATCATCAGAGCTTAAATAATGACATTTGTGACAGGATAGGGTTTTAAGAGATGTGAGCATTGAGGATTGGCTAAAAGGGGAAGTATCTCCATGAGCTTTATTCCTTAATCAGATCCAAATGCCAGAGTAGGGTTTCATTCCATTGAAGATGCAGATTCCAATAGCAAAATCTGGTATGAAGGATTTGGAGTGACTTAAAGATACACCATGAAGATGCAAGCAACTATAATTTAACAAGTACGAAATGCTAAACCTTAATTTAATCACTCAAATGTCACGGCATATTTTTATCAATGATGGACCTATATTCTAGTGAGGGTGTGTGGGCACTTGACCCCCGGCCCACTCGATTTTTTACTTTTTTAGAGGGGGTTTTTACTTGTAAGGCATGTAAATTTTTCCTCTAATTTTAATATATTTTGACCTCAACTAATTTCAAACTGGAGTTAGATTCAATGAGTGACTTAAATCTATTTTGTCAATAAGTATCTCAATTATAATCATTGAATTTTATCAATACTTCAAAGTTTTCAAGATTTACTTCCCTCTAAAAATTCAAAAAAATCTTTTTTTTTTAAGATTCAAAATAATCTTTACAATCAATACATTTTTTTACCCATGGGTAAAATTTATTGGCAATTCATATCATATTTAATAGTGACAAAGAATAAAGTGAAAAACTAAATCATACTCCCTCTCATCTCTATTATAGGATATTTTTTAGAAAGATTATTTGGTCCTTAATATAAAGCACTTGATGGGGTATTACTTATATTTTTTTCAATATTACACCCACTTAAATTCATTATTTATGAGAGAGAGTTCAATGCATATATAAAAAATTTTCATTTAAATATGGATAAATTAAAAGTTTATTTTATTTCTAGACAAAGTAATAACTTAATCACATGTATTATTAGAAGTTCCTTATAATAGGGAGTGTTTATCAAGAGAGGCATGATCTTTTATATAAATCTAATTTTTCTGTGTATTAATTTTTTCTCTCGAATCACTTTAGAAGTCAAAACTTGATATGAAAGTGAAACGGAAAGAGCAGAATGAAACAGAAAGAGCAAGAAACGGGCTAAAACGGAAGGCACACATAATGAGCATCATAAACTCTTTGTAACCCCCCTAACTTCTGTAACTCCCCTTTAAATTTGTATGGTTTAGTTTCACGAATTTTAGGACTATAAATAGGACCTTGAGACTTGTGAAAGGGACAGACTTCAGAGAATAAGAATTGCTTGTTGTTCATTCGGTTTCTGTGCCATTTTGGTATCAGAGCTGGTCCAGAGAGCGAGAGAGTGAGTTACAGTTGAGAAAGTACGCCGGAAAGAAGAGAGATTCAGAGGAGGAGTCCCTGACGTCTTCGCGTTTTACAAACCAGGCATTTTCTCAGAAAACTAACATCACCATCGTGCTCAGGAGGTCCGAAAACGTGGAACAAAAGGTTCCCCGTCACCGGAAATAGCCGCACGTGCCTCCACGCGCCACCGTCGGAATACCACGCGCCTCGCCGCCGGTCCACGCGCTTCACGCGCCATCCGAAGGTTGAAGACGCTGACGTCATCTGCCACGTCATCATTCTGACCGGTTAACGACAGGTCAGCCCAGTAGTTTTCTGCCACGTGTCACGGTCGCCACGTCACTGTGCCCAGTCAGCCAACTTTTCAGAAATTACATTTTCGCCCCAAATCTTTCAGTAATTCCAAATTTACCCCTATTTTTTATGAAATTTCATATTGACCCCCAAATTTTTCAGAAATTCCATTTTAACCCCTAAACTTTCCTAAAATTACACTGTTGCCCCTTGATTTTACCTGAATTCCTGTTTAACCCCTATATTTTTCATAAATTTCAATTTGACTCATCATTCTTCTAGAATCGCTATTTTACCCCCTAGACAGCCCAAAATCCCCATTTTGCCCCTAGCCTTTTGAAAAATCTCACTTTACCCCTATATCTTTCAACGTTTCCAATCGCACCCCAATCTTTACCCCTAGCCTTGACACTTATCCAAAATGCCTCCAAGACGTAGACATGTGCACAAGGTTGAGATGGAAGAGTTGAGACGTAAGATTCGAGAATTGGAAGCCACTGTGGAATTGTAGCAAACTCTGTTAAACAACAACAGAGAAAACTTATAGAGAGATTCGGGAAGCAGTAGTTCGTCATCTACTGAAAACCGCCGCCGCCCACGACAACAACAATTCCTCCCTAATGACATCAAGGTTGACATTCCTGAATTCGAGGAAAGGCTCCAGCCAGACGAGTTTGTAGATTGGCTACAAACTGTTGAACGAGTATTTGAATACAAGGAGATTCTAGATACGTAGAAAGTCAAAATTGTCGCCCTCAAACTCAAGAAACATGCTTCTATTTAGTGGGAAAACCTCAGACGGAAGCGAGAACGTGAGGGAAAGCGCAAGATTGAAACCTGGGAGAAGATGAAACGCCAGCTCACCAGGAAATTTTTACCAGATCATTACCACCAGGATAATTTTATTCAGTTGCAAAATCTTCGACAGAGATCTTTATCTGTAAAAAAATATACTAGAGAGTTTGAACAACTCATGATGAAGTGTGATATTCAGGAGAAGGAGGAGCAAACAATAGCCTGGTACCTTGCAGGCTTAAACACAGATATCAGTCGTCCAGTCCAGCTTCAACAATATTGGACCTTGGATGATGTCATCCGTCTGGCCGTGCGTGTTGAGAAGCAGATGCCCAAGAGATCCACTTTCCAACCTTCATCCTCTAGGAGTTATCCAGAAGGCCGTAAAGCAGAATTTCAGCAGACTAACTCCTCAAGCAAGCCACAACCTACTGTTATGCGTAAACCACCATCCAATGCTGCCAAGGAATCTGGTTCTAAAGCAATCAAATGCTTTAAATGCCAAGGATTTGGTCACATTGCTGCGGACTGTCCTACACGAAGGGTTGTCACCATTCGAGAAGGATCAGGGTATGAAGCACTTGAAGAAGATGAGGAGGACGATGAGTTCTACGGCACTGATCCCGTATATGACGAGGAGGTCACACCTGCTGATCAAGGAGAAGCATTGGTACTTAGACGAAGTCTGCATACAACAGTAGTCAAAGAAGAACCTTGGTTACGATGCAATATTTTTTACACTCGTTGCACGGCCCAAGGAAAAGTTTGTAATGTCATCATTGACAATGGAAGCTGTGAAAATGTAGTATCTAACTACATGGTGGAGAAATTGAAGTTGCCAACACAAGATCATCCACAACCTTACAAGCTTCACTGGCTCAACAAAGGGAATGAGGTAAAAGTTTCTAAACAATGCCTTGTGACCTTTTCTATTGGGAATCGATATTGTGATGAAGTTTTATGTGATGTTGTTCCCATGGATGCATGCCACCTTCTCTTGGGGAGGCCATGGCAATATGACCGACATGCTATGCA